CCCCAAAACCCCAAAACCCCAAAACCCCTAAGATTAAAGTAAAATGAAAAATCAAATCAAATTTTTCAAATTTAAAAATGAAATATTTTCAAAAAGCTCTGATTTTGGCAATATTCAATCTAGCCTTGATACAAAAGCTATAAGCTCAACATCTTGGCAAGACTCCTGAAGGCATCAACATATTCAAGATTGATTTGAGCTTAGATCCAGAGGACAGATTTGTAGAAACTGCAACCTTTTTCAAAGAGCCAGTCATAGAATTATTTTAGCTTTACAAAGATGTGATATCTGAGGCCATCAACTATATGTTTAAATTCCTTGATCTAATCACTTGGTCGAGATTCAATGAGAGAATGTAGGAAATTGAAGGTATCGCTGATGTATTAGATTTATCTTCAAATTAAGTTATGATGATGAACTTTTTATATGAGCTCGATGCCTATTGTACCTCCATTATAGCTCGCCAAGATAATGGAAATCTTCTTTTACTCAGAAATTTGGATTTTTACTTTCCCAATGAAACTAAAAAGATCACTTACATAGGTAAATTCTACAGAGCCGAAAAGCTCTTGTTCGAGGCTCCTATGTTTGCTGGTCTAGTAGGAGTGTATACAGGCATGAGAGAAAATGCATTCGCCCTGTCGATAAACGAAAGAAATCCAAAGAAGTCTGATACAGGATTTATGGCTAACATTGGTATGATGTTCAGTGGCTTTTCGTAAATCAGCTATTTGACTAGATAAGTACTTCAAGATTGCAATGACTACAATTGCGCATTTTCAAAACTTTAAACTAAAACATTGATAGCTGGAGGATACTTAATATTGGCTGGTAAGTAAGGGAATGAAGGAGCAGTTATCTCTAGAGAAAGAACCGGTACACTCTTTGTTTAAAAGTTAAATGATACTTAATGGTACTTAGTTCAAACTAATTAGGATCATTTTGATGGTAAATGCCCGATCAGATGCTAAAAGGCTAACGAGAGAATCTAAGCAATTGGACATAAAAATATTACAGCTGAAAATCTAAGATAAAATGTGCTGCTATAATGGCCTAATTTAAACTTCATGTCAATATATACAACAACCTATGAAGTTGCTTCAAAGTATTCTAACACGATATTAGTATCAGCTACAAATTTAGAGGATCCTGGTGATCTTGATACATGATGCATGATGTTTAATAATTGATTCCAAATTAATTTCATTAAGCTTAAAATAAGAAATTCACTTTAAATTGAGGTTTTAGGGGTTTTGGGGTTTTGGGG